ATAAATAAATAAATAAATAAATAAATAAATAAATAAATAAATAAATAAAATAAAATAAAATAAAATAAAATAAAATATAATATAATAAAATAAAATAAAATAAAATAAAATAAAATAAAATAAAATAAGGGACACTGTTATCCAGCAGTACCTGTTACCTAGTTCTGGAGTCTAGTGACAAAATGCTTTCTCCCACCCCCTTGCCTCTAATCGCAACCCAAACAGGTCTTGGCAAACTCTTCTGCCATGTTGCCATGACGTTGCCTTCCTCTCGTCCCCCATCCATGAGTGAGATGGCCGTAAACCACCTTCTGCTGTCCCCCTGCCAATGCAGCCTTTTCCTTCTTATTCTGACCAAGAGTGGCACCCTTCGTCAGTAGCACGGAGGCAGTAACGGAACAGAGGCAGCAGAGACAGGAGAGATATTGGCGATGGGAACGTGGTGCTTTACTTTTCAAGGATGAAGAAGAACCAACAGGGGTGTCCACAGAGGATGGTCCAAAAAGACAAGATGATGGCTACAAAGGTGCGACTGAAGCTCTGTTTTTCACGTGCAACGCACCGTTGCGGTCACCACCTCGTCTTTTCAGACCGTACCCTGTAGACACCTCTGACTACAACTCAGCCACAGGGAGAGCCCCGAAGCCACACATCAAAACCCAGTGCCTCCAATGCCTCCTTGGGAAAGAAAGTGAGACAGGGCCATTCAGAGGGAGAATAAAGGGAATGAACCCTCTTTGCTTTCAGCCAGGAAAGAGAGAGAGCATTGCAAGGAAGAAAAGATCACTTGGAAGGCACGGCGTTTGGAATCAGAGGGAGTCCGGGAGCACTTTTTCAGGCTGGCATGTTTGATGAAAAGGCTTTTGTGAGCTGTAAAAAGCGTTACTTGGAAAAGATACTACTGGACTCCTGAATGTGGGCAGTCATCGACGAGCATTGCTCTCCTTCTGCAGCGTCTGCAGGAGTTCTCCAAAGCTTTGGAGAATTGCTTGGCAACGTTCAACCAGCCCATGCAGCTGCTGGAAAACCCAGGAAAGGCCATGCCCCATGGAGGCTTTGTAAAAATGGCGAAGAACCAAAAGGGGCAGTTCCAGTGAGGTGAGTTAATGCCTAAACCACCCCCAAACCATTGCCCTGATGCATTGCCTAAGCAAAACCGCCCTGTGGCTCTCACACTGATCCAACCGCCTCTTTTGACTCCTTCCGGCTCTGCTTTTTTCCTGCAAGGGCTGAACTCCAAGGGTTGATGGACCCCTTGAATTGGTGGTCAGGAAGTAGATTCCCAAAGTCACAAACTGGAAGAGGTGACATGGGTGATTTGAGTGCTCTTTTGGGAGATGCAGAAATTGATTGTTCAGCATGTAGTAATAAGGCTTGCTTGAGCAAGTTGGATGAAGGTCCACGTAGGAAATGTTCACCCCAAATCTCAGAGGAGTCCCAGGGAGCCCCAGATCTCTCTGCTTCTTTCCCCATCTGCCTTTTGGGGAGCTAAGGAGGGAGCCAATATATAAATATAGATACAAAGGGGGTGGGGGTTCTCATACTTTTCCCCCTGACTATGAGCAGGAACGAATGGTGGAAAAAGATGCCCTTTTTAAAGGTTATTTAGCAACATTGTTAGGCAGACAATGCAAACAGCAAAGCTTTCTCCCTTGCTGCTCCAATAGGAAAAGGCTTCACCTGTTGAACATGCGCCTTTAGACCACTGTGAAAGGCTTAAGCTTGTGATCAGAACTGGCAAGAGGGACACTACAGTGAGGCTGTCTGGGCTGCATTGTTTTGCAGTCCTCTGCCCATGACTGCTGAAAATTGGCAGTCCGGTTGCCTACGGAACTGGGAATTTGAAAGCCATAAATGTGGATGCGTACGTCGTTTCAGCAGGATGTGGGTTTTGCAAACTCACTTGTGGTCCAGGATGATGACAGAAATAAAATGGAGCTTCACTTGGAAATAAACCTCAATTGTTTTCCACTCTCCCATCCCTGCTGGCCTGTGTGTGATCATTTGGACTCCTCTAGTCTGTAATTTTAGAGTTTGGCCCTACAATCTAGCCCAGTGTTTCTCAACTTTGGCCACTTTAAGATGGGTGGACTTCAACTCCCAGAATTCCCTAGTCAGCATGGCTGGCTGAGGAATTCTGGGAGTTGAAGTCCACCCATCTTAAAGCATGCTGACTGGGGGTCTCTAACAATGGCTGATGGTCTTGCAAAAGTCAAACAGGGAAAGGGGCCTGTGGGATGAATGTATAAGGGTGCTGTGAGTCTAGATCAGTGTTTCTCAACCTCAGCAACTTTAAGATGGGTGGACTTCAACTCCCAGAATTCCCCAGCCAGCCATGAATTCTGGGAGGTGAAGTCCACCCATCTTAAAGCTGCCAAGGTTGAGAACACTGTTCCAATGTGCACTTCCTTGGAGCAATTCTGACCACTTCTAAATAAATATAGAGAGGCTTGGACTGTAAAAGGTACAGATGCCTTGTCACCTCCTCTTCCTCAGGACTGGGGCCTGAAATACTGCTTAGTTTAGAAACAGCCCAAGGACCACAGGGAAAAAGAAGGAAATTTAATGCCGGGGCCACCTTAATTTATGTGCTCACTCAGCCCTACGCTGCACACCTGTTGCAGCTGGAAGAGCCCCACCTCTCCTTACAAAAGCCAGAAAGGCATGCAAGAAGGCTATTCAGCTAATGGAAGGAGTGTTGGTTTAAAGAGGGGGGAAAGCCTGTAGAGTTTGAGAGGAAGTGTACAAATGGTATCTCGATAATTTCAGGCAAGCTGGTTTCTCTGTCTCTCCTCCAGGATCCCTGAATTCTCGGCCAACCTGTACCTATTTGACTAGCGCAGCTCAGATTGTGGCTTGTTTCTGAAGGTAATTGCAGATTCTCTCAGGGGTGTGTGCAACATGCGTTTTGTCACAGTGACTAGGTTCTTATGACGTATCAGCTGTTAATGTGGTTTAGCTGCTTTTGATCCAGGATGTTACACAGTTTGCCTTCTTGGGTAAAACCAGCCCTTGTTGATTGTTCAGCCCATTATGGTTGAAACTAATCCTGGCTTAATTGAAATATTGAATATGTGAAAGCGCTCTTTTGGCTATGCCAAACATGGAGGTGGTACTACACTTCTCATTCTCCTTGGCCAGTGGTTAAGTATCTTACATGCTACTTCCACCCTCCCTGGTCACTATGGCCCATGATTGTGTTGGCTGGGGAGGATGGAAGTTGTATTCTAGCTATCAAGTTTTAATAATGATACTACCTGGAGAGCAACTGGTTGGGAGAGATGGTGGTTTGCTTTAAACACCAAATGTAGGGGTCAGGCACCCTGCTCACACCCAACGCTCGGGGCGGATATATGGCTGGGAGACTCTGAACATATAATTGCCAGCACAAGGCAGTGACAATGATAGGAAGGCCTGGCTGTTTCATATTTTTTTTAAAAAAACTTTAATTCTTGGTTTATATGCTTTTAACCAAGTAGCATCGTATCTCACGCTAAGCTCGTGTATGAGTGGTTTGCAGTTGGTTTAGGTTATTTAAGATCCCTCCCTCGTGGTTGCAGCCATCATTTATGACTTGATCTACGAGTCTGGCCAATTGTGGCTTATTCTACCAACTGAAGAAGCAAACTGTACCTTGGTGTGGGGCATGAATGCAGCCAGCAGGACACGGGTTAACGAAAGGGGGCACCCGAAGCCTTTTGCGGACAACGCCAAGGGGGTTGTGAGTCCTGACACGTCCTGTTGGTTACAGGAGGAGGGTTGACTGCTGGTCCCTGCCTCATCACCCCGGTTGGGTTCCCGCAGCGGGGGCCTCTTGCAGAAAGACGGCATGAAGGATGAAATAGCAGCCACCGTCTTCTTCATCACCCGCCTGGCCAAAAAACACAACCAGCTGAATAGGCAGCAGATGGAGAGGTTTGCATCCGCGCTGACGACGATTCTCTTCGAGAGGTATAAAAACCACTGGTATCTCGACAACCCCACAAGGGGACAAGGCTTCCGGTAAGTGGCCCATGGGGGAGTCCCTCTTGGTCCAGCTCTCCTGCAAAATGGGGGTCTGCCCCTCCCCGGAGCAGCCCGGACTCCTGCCCACCCCAGCAGAATTCCTGGCCACTCACGGTGCCCCATCTGCATTCTTCCTCCCCACAAAATTGGAGCTGGATAAGCAGAGCTGCTTGATGTCAGCCCCAGGCCCTACCACTAGCAACATGATTAAGCACCTGCTAGTGAGAAGAGGTGGTAGGAGCAGCACCCCCCACTTTCTCTGTTGGAAGATGGCTTGGGGTCTCTCTGATCCCCTAATCTGCCTCCCCCAGCTTCCTTTCCTGGCTACATTTGCATGACATAGACCAGGGTTCCTCAACCTTGGCAACTTTAAGGCGGGTGGACTTCAACTCCCAGAATTCCCCAG